CTATAAGCTCGATTGAGAAGGGTCACTATCTAAATGCCAATAATAATAATAATAATAATAATAACAATATGTAAAGTTACAATATAAAACCCTTAACATTACTTTGTTTGAACGGATTTTATATAAAGGAAAATTTATACTGAAATTGCCAATATATGATTTAAATCATCCCTGATACAAATTCTCTGCTTTGTTACAATGTTGTTCTCAGAAGTAGCAAAAACAAAGTACAATACATACAAGTAGTTATTGATAGTTTCTCCACAGAAAGAGAGATCTTCATGCAACTCCGATGCCAAGGATTGTAAATACTGAATGCCGGTATTCACAACAATTTAATGATTGAATAGAACACTTGACCCAGGTATTCAGTCATAAGATAATGATTGTGCATAAGATGTGTGATTATTATAATAACTTCCTGGTTTATTCTCTGCAATTCTTCGAATATTACTTCTTGACGTTTTGTTGTCTTCACGTGCCTGTATATACTTAAAAGTTATATAAAATGTTTTACCCTGACCGGACTCCCAGCTGAACATACAATTGTCATTTTTGTGTGGATCAATCCTGATTTGGGATCCATTGAATTACATTTTCTTTCTCTAATGTCCTGGTTTTCCAGTGTCTTGAAATGTTATATAGATGGGCAATTATGAGTGGTGAGCACATATAAGGTTATATTCAGAGGCATAACTAGAAACAGAGTTAATATGATAAGGTTGAGTGTGGCAGGGTGAAAGGGGGCAAGTGTGACAGAGTGATGGAGAATGAATGTGACAGGATGAGTGTGATAGGGTGAATATGGCAAAGCGATAGGAGGCGAGTGGCATGGGTGAGTGACTGGATTGGGGGAGTTATTGTGAGTGTGGCAGGGTGAAGTGGAGTGACAGTGTGTGTGGTGGGGTGACAGACACAGAGGTGCATACACTGACACACATGCAGATAAACAGACAAACATACTGACATACATGTAGATACACACCAAACAACATACAGATACATACACAAAAACACATGCTGATACACACACACAGATACAGACTCACAGATACACATTAAAGACACACAAACTAACACACAGATACACAGACACACGGAATGCCACTCCTAAAGATACAAACACAGACACATATGCACAGACACTTAATGACAAACATTCAAATATACAGAATGACACTCATTCAAACAGTGACATACATATAGATACATAGGGCACACACTGACATACAGGGAGTGCAGAATTATTAGGCAAGTTGTATTTTTGAGGATTAATTTTATTATTGAACAACAACCATGTTCTCAATGAACCCAAAAAACTCATTAATATCAAAGCTGAATATTTTTGGAAGTAGTTTTTAGTTTGTTTTTAGTTATAGCTATGTTAGGGGGATATCTGTGTGTGCAGGTGACTATTACTGTGCATAATTATTAGGCAACTTAACAAAAAACAAATATATACCCATTTCAATTATTTATTATTACCAGTGAAACCAATATAACATCTCAACATTCACAAATATACATTTCTGACATTCAAAAACAAAACAAAAACAAATCAGTGACCAATATAGCCACCTTTCTTTGCAAGGACACTCAAAAGCCTGCCATCCATGGATTCTGTCAGTGTTTTGATCTGTTCACCATCAACATTGCGTGCAGCAGCAACCACAGCCTCCCAGACACTGTTCAGAGAGGTGTACTGTTTTCCCTCCTTGTAAATCTCACATTTGATGATGGACCACAGGTTCTCAATGGGGTTCAGATCAGGTGAACAAGGAGGCCATGTCATTAGATTTTCTTCTTTTATACCCTTTCTTGCCAGCCACGCTGTGGAGTACTTGGACGCGTGTGATGGAGCATTGTCCTGCATGAAAATCATGTTTTTCTTGAAGGATGCAGACTTCTTCCTGTACCACTGCTTGAAGAAGGTGTCTTCCAGGAACTGGCAGTAGGACTGGGAGTTGAGCTTGACTCCATCCTCAACCCGAAAAGGCCCCACAAGCTCATCTTTGATGATACCAGCCCAAACCAGTACTCCACCTCCACCTTGCTGGCGTCTGAGTCGGACTGGAGCTCTCTGCCCTTTACCAATCCAGCCACGGGCCCATCCATCTGGCCCATCAAGACTCACTCTCATTTCATCAGTCCATAAAACCTTAGAAAAATCAGTCTTGAGATATTTCTTGGCCCAGTCTTGACGTTTCAGCTTGTGTGTCTTGTTCAGTGGTGGTCGTCTTTCAGCCTTTCTTACCTTGGCCATGTCTCTGAGTATTGCACACCTTGTGCTTTTGGGCACTCCAGTGATGTTGCAGCTCTGAAATATGGCCAAACTGGTGGCAAGTGGCATCGTGGCAGCTGCACGCTTGACTTTTCTCAGTTCATGGGCAGTTATTTTGCGCCTTGGTTTTTCCACACGCTTCTTGCGACCCTGTTGACTATTTTGAATGAAACGCTTGATTGTTCGATGATCACGCTTCAGAAGCTTTGCAATTTTAAGAGTGCTGCATCCCTCTGCAAGATATCTCACTATTTTTGACTTTTCTGAGCCTGTCAAGTCCTTCTTTTGACCCATTTTGCCAAAGGAAAGGAAGTTGCCTAATAATTATGCACACCTGATATAGGGTGTTGATGTCATTAGACCACACCCCTTCTCATTACAGAGATGCACATCACCTAATATGCTTAATTGGTAGTAGGCTTTCGAGCCTATACAGCTTGGAGTAAGACAACATGCATAAAGAGGATGATGTGGTCAAAATACTCATTTGCCTAATAATTCTGCACTCCCTGTACAGATACACAGACACACATGCAGATACACAGACACATATACACAGACACTTAATAACAAACATTCAAATATACAGAATGACACTCATTCAAACAGTGACATACATATAGATACATAGGGCACACACTGACATACAGATACACAGACACACATGCAGACAAACACACATACAAACACACACACACACACAGATACACACATATGCAAAATGTTTTAGTCCCCCTCATGTTTCCTACCTTTTAGATGCAGGAGGGTGAATTCAGGTGATGCAGGTGGGTGTTCCCACTGACTCCCTCCTCTCTTTCTCCTTCCCCGCAGTTCATCTTCTCCTCTGGGGACCGCAACGCTGACCGAGCCCTTGGAAATAATTTGCCATCCAGTGGTCCTAACCGCATGGGACACCTGATGGGACCCTAAAAGAGCAGCCCCGGTTGTAGCAGAGTCCCCTGGAGGGACGGGCCTGGTTGCAGCCGTGACCCCTGCGACCGTGATAGGTCCGCCACTGGTTATATTATGATGCATATGATTCTTAGGGTCTGAGTTAAAGGAACTATAGGGTCATAAATACAAACCTGTGTTAAAAACACTATTTAGGTGACCAGCCCCTGCTTGACCCCCTTAAATAAAGTTAAATCTTACCTTTCAGTGCCGTGTGGTTCCCACCTCCTTGGGTAAGAATTGATGATCTCAGCCAATCCAATGCTTTCTTATGAAAAAGCATTGGGAGGCTAATGCGGATGTGCTGCAAAATGCCACACTGGCCAATCAGCATCTTATCATTAAATCAATGCATCTCTATTAGAAATGTGCAGCATCTCCATGCAGTGCGTGGAGACGCTGAACATTAGTGCTGCAGATTGTGCAGCACTGACCCAGGAAACCACCCCTTTTGGCTGTTTGTGTGACTGCCACTAGAACTGTTCCTTGGCTGCAATGTAAACACTGCCTTTTCTCTGAAAAGGTAGTGTTTACATGAAAATGTCTGCAGGGAATAAGTATACTCATCAGAACAACTACATTACCTCTTAAGGATGGAGTCAACTGTACACTTTCTGATCAAAACAAAATGTAAACAAAACCTGGAATTTGAACTGTTCTACCATAATTCACTTCTTACATATTAAGTGCTGTGGGGATATTTATGGGATAATAATAGTAACAGTGAGAATCGCCCACTAATTCAATTCTCAGATCCCAAATATCGTTATCATGTTAAGTGGAATGTATTTCATATAAATAATATCACAATGTTATAAAAATAGATTTTATTTTATAATAACAAATTAATTAAGGATAATAATATGTAACATGCGTGACAATAATCAATGAATATCCAGTATAAAATGGTATGCAATACAAAGGAATGGCTATACACGTTTCAATGGCTAAACAGCATTTTCTGTCAAGACTTTTGACGATTTATGACTATCTTTCACAGAGAGAAAGCGAAGCTTTTCACAGCGAAGGGCCATAAAACCCTGGCTAACAGTTAGGATAACCCTTTCAATGCTGGCTAGACCTCCTAGGTAATTAAGATCTATTCTTATGTAATTTTAAATAAAATAACATTTAAACCAGTTCATTAGTCATTTCCTGGAACCATCCAATAAGAGAATCTACCATGATTTTTACAAAAGCAGAATTTAATTTGTCTAAAAGATATCTATCTTATATTAGAGCAAATCAATACACCTGGATAAAAACAGCGGTATGCTAACACGTGATAATGTTGTAGAATTATTAGGCCTCTATAAATCTGTAAGGCCCCTTTAAATCCTCTTGCTAAACCTCTAAGAGGCCCCCTATAGTTTTACAAGAAAGCTTTGTCTATAGAACATAGAATTTGCATGCCAGCAAGAAATAGCTTTGATAAAATGTGTATTTACTAAAAGCCTTGAAACCTAACCTTGAGAAACTAACCGTGCCAGCTACACTCTAAATGGATGGCTGCCAAAGCACCCCTCCCATCGAGTGAACACCTCGTGCTAACAAGATGGCGCCTACATCTTGTGTCCACTCCCGTGTCAAGGATGACATCACCTCTTGATAGGAGGGTACCTAACTAACCACTTAACACCTGGACCAATCAATAGTGTCTATTTGCTGTTATCTTGATTTTCTTCAATGATGTAATAATGCCTTTAAAAGGGTCTGCGCACCCATTTTCTGTCAGAAGCCATTAAACTTCTCTGAAGTTCTTTCATTACCCTGAACCTTGTGTCTCAGTGTGAATTTACTTCTGCGTGCACGCAACTTTATTATCTTTAATTTGGACAGGAACAGATAGTCATTCAAACTAATTGGTTTGCAGTAAATTATCTAGAACAATTGGCGCTCTCAACGTGGGGCTCTGGGCTATGTCCTGTCTGGGCAGCTGTCCAAGAAGACGCTGGGGGGGCTGAATCCTGGGGGAAGGAAAAGAGCCTGATCACCTCTGAATACACGGTAGAGATTGCTGCAGCACCTAGCCGGTATGTTCCTACCCCTGTGATTGACCTGTCCCAGTGTCTGTGACTGCTGCCGAGAGGACATCAAAGTCAGGTAATAACTTGCCCAGAGTCTTTGTATTGTTAATGATACCTGGTTTACCTGCATGTTGACTATCTGTTGCCTGGGTGTGTTTGTATTGGTATGTGTTTAACTTAGTACCCGGGGAGTGTAAGTGCCTGTTTAACTCCTTTTAGGTACCACATGCCTGTGGTAGTAAGGAAAAAGGGGGGTGGACCTGTGGAAGTTTTCCTGGGGGTCCTCTATTGCCTGTTTAACTCTTTTAGGAGCCACGTGGCTGTGGCTGTAAGGAAAAAGAGTAGGGGGAATCTGTGGAGGATGATGTAGACTCATTGCTTCCTGGGGGTTCCCCAGAGTGTCATTTTGACCGCTTAGCTAGCCTCATCGGACACTTCTTCTTGGTAAAATTCCAGTCTCGAGCGCTGAGGCAGGTAAGATTCCAATTCTTTAGGCTATACAGGATTCGGGTTGGAAGCTGTTGCTGTTTCCTGTGGCTGCTGGTAGTGAGACTTGCGGGTGGGTCCGCAACAGGGACACTACGAGGTTGAGGGAGGTGGCTTTTGGCCACACGAGTAAAGGCAAGGGATAAAACTGTTGAACTTATTTGAACTGTGATGCATGCACTGTATTTACACTGAAATGTTATTGTCTTAATTGTCTGTCACACAGATTCCTGTGTTTACTTCTATCTTACTCACTGTACTATTTACACTTTCCCCTCCTATTTCTCTTTCTCTTTGTTGAGAGAAGTGATTGGTCACACACTTCTCGCCACGCTCCAATCCGCGGCTACCACGGGTAGGCGGAATCAGTGACTAGTCTACGTTTTGGGAAGACGTACTTAAAGAGCTTGCTCTTAAAGTAGCAGTCGAGCACGGTAGACGTTCTGTTCCTTTCTCTCTCTATATCTGGGACGCCTTGTATAGGGAGGATGGGACAGAAGTTAGATAAACCCAGTAAGGGTTGGTTAGCATGTGATCTAGTGGAAGACAGAGAAGGAGAAGAGATGGTTAAGAAAGTGAGTAAGATTGCTAAAGTATGTGGAATTACCGTACCTCTGTGCGGCAGATTGTAGCCAGAGAGCTGGCGTAAGTTACTGACAGAAGAAAGGGAAGCTGTCGGACCAAGATTTGGTTTGTACAGCAGAAGCCTGGTACCGAGTAGCAAGAGCTATTCAGCAAAAGGGATAGGTTGAGGAAGAAATTGATCACAAAGGTTTAAGATTGTTTGTGTATTATAATAATTGTGTTACTGGATGCTGATGGATCCCTATTCTTCCCCCCCCCATCAGTCCTACAGATCTCGTCACCCTCATCCTCTCTCTGCAGCTCCCTGCACCTCCAGTCCGTTTCTCCCGTCAAAGATTTCTGGTTTCCAAACGTATAAGTCTCTGTCCTTCTGTCTTGTTACTTTCCAGCACTCACATGGTTAATCTTCATGCCTGCAGCTTCTCTCCCTTTTTTGCACTGTCTCACATCCCCCCCCCTTTCCTCCCCACTTGCCTCCGAATGGGGGAGGTACATGCCTTCTGCATTTCGGAGCTACTGATAAGAGTTAGGAATGGGATTTTTGCTGGAAAATATTCTAATTCAGAGGTTATGGTGTTATAGTTGTGTAATAATATTATTATTGTTGCCGTTTGTATATGTATATATATATATATATATATATATATATATATATATATATGTGTGTATGTATAGATTGAGTTTTGTGATAAAGTAGTGAGGATTGTGGGGGAGACACAAGAATGTAGCTCAGTGTTGATTTACGGAGGTAAGTGCATCTGATACAAGAATAGTGGAATATTTGGACGTGTTAAGTGTATAGGCAAGCGTGATTTGTTGCAGAACTATGCAATGTGGATAGAGGGAATATGCGGAGTTAAGCTAGTATGTGAAGAGGAAAGTGATTAATGGTTTGAGGAAGATAAGGGAATTTGGTTGAATTCCGCGAGTTTATTTTGCATCATTTTATTATTTTAAAGTTATTTTAAAGAACATGTTTCTAGAAGACAGCTGTATGGGCTGTTAAATGCATAATGTTCTCAACTGTCTTATTTAACCTGCCAGGTCTGTTCATAGTTTAGTATTTCATTTTGCAGAACGGAATGTTGCTTCTCTGACTTATTTTAATAGTTATAATATAGTGTATTGTTGAAAGTGCGTCAGTCACCACCCTAAAGATGGTGCCTAGTACAGAAGAAGGTTGCTAAAATGTAATTTGCAAATGTGGTGTGACCTACAAATGAGATCTGTTGGACACGAATATAAGAGCATAACAGCTGATTATCCAGATTAATCTTGCAACAAGGGAAATAGCTAAATAATGCAAGTTATTTTAAACATTGTATCTTTACTTAATCGAATCTTGCTAGTTACAGATCGTATGTTTACAGTAACATCCTTTACTTTAAATGATGGTTTAGCATTAGAAGGATTAGTGACATGTTTTATTAACCCAGCCACTACTGGTTATTCATTTTAGTTACAGGGTGGTATAATTGTTATAGTCTAATTAATATAAATGATAGTACCGCAATAGTTAATGTTTTATCCAAAGACATTTAGGAACTTTACTTAACTTACTATTAACCATTATTTATAATGATAGACATGTTCAGACTGCAAAAAGCTATGGCTAATGACATAGAAAGGGGTTTGAGTCAGTAACACAGCCCATACTGAGGAGAGCAAACCCGCTGATGCTTAATGCCCCTGCCATGGCAGTGTCTTCAGGGGAACAAGGGGGGCCTCTAGCTACTGTAATTTTACCCATTGAGGGCCAGCCCACCACTTTCCTAGTTGACACAGGTGCAGCCCGAAGTGTTCTGAGAGAACAAGACCTGCCCGATACCTCATTTCTTTCCAATATTGATGTCTCCTGTGTTGGGGTGGACGGCCTTCCAAGGCAAAGTCCCCTGTCCACCCCACTGCGGGTTGGTAACTGCCACAACTTGCTTGCTCGCTTTGTGGTATCTTCCACATGCCCCATTAACCTGTTAGGAGCTGATGTTCTTTCACGCCTGCAGGCATCCATCACCTTTACTCCAGATGGACAAGTGGAACTATCCACCCCTCTATCTGTCTCAGACACCTCAGCTTTGTGCTCCTTACCCCTGATGCTACATCTAGAAGAGCCTCATGGGGATGCAAAAGACCTAAGGACTAATTTCCCTGATTCACTAAAGACTGATGTTCCCAAGAAGCTGTGGTCCACAGGCCCAGAGGACATAGGCCATCTAAAGGTCCCGCCTGTGGTGGTAAAGCTCATCCCAGGCGTAAAATTGCCACGAAAATCACAGTATCCTTTGAAACCAGCTCAAGCTGCAGCCATTACAATTCAAATTCAAGCACTCCTGGAGAAGGGTGCTCTTGTCAAATGTGAATCACCATGCAATACTCCATTATTTCCAGTAAAGAAAAAGACTCCAAAAGGCGAACCAGAAAAGTACAGATTGGTCCAAGACCTCAGAGCGGTAAATGAAGCCACAGTTTTGGACACTCCAATAGTGCCCAACCCACACACTCTCCTTTCCGGCGTTCCACCCTCTGCCAAGTACTTCACTGTCATTGATCTGGCCAATGCCTTCTTCAGTGTTCCCCTGGATCCAACTTGCCAATATCTGTTTGCTTTCACACATGAAAAACAACAGTACACATGGACTGTCATGCCCCAAGGGGCACAAAATTCACCAAGTCAATTTGCGAAGGCCATGTGCTCTATCCTTGATCCATGGCAATCTGACCACCCTGCTTCAATATGTGGATGATTTGCTGCTTTGTGGAGATGATATACCCACAACAGAACAATGCTCACTTAATATTCTTTGCTACCTAGCAGAACAAGGATGTAAAGCTTCACGTCTCAAGCTGCAATTCTGCCAACCTACTGTTATCTTCCTTGGCCATTGTCTGTCTCAGGGAACCAGACATCTTACCCGTGACCGAGTTAGAGCGGTACTGGACATTCCACCTCCAAGGACCTCGAAGTCACTACACGCCTTCCTAGGCCTCATTTCCTATTGCCGAGCATGGATCCCAGAAGCCTCGCTCCTTATGCAACCTCTTTATGATGCTCTCAAGTCAGACCCATTTTGCTTGTCCACAGAAGCCCTTGACAACTTCTGTTCTCTCAAACGTGCTATTGCTTCTGCTCCTGCTCTTGGCCTACCAGACTATACCAAACCCTTCAAATTGTTTGTTTCTGAAAGACAAGGCCATGCAACAGGAGTACTCACTCAGGCCCATGGTCCTGGAGGCCGCCAAAGGCCTATTGGATTTTTCTCCTGCCAACTGGATATTGTGGCCAGAGGACGTCCCTCTTGCCTTCGGGCCGTCTTTGCTGCCAGAGAGCTCATTGAAAGAACTGGAGATCTTGTCCTTGGCCACCCCCTGGTTGTCTTGGCCCCTCATGACATTTCTGCCATAGTCAACCAGGTCCAACTTAAGCATGTTACTCCTGCTAGGCATCTTCGCCTTCAATGTCACCTTTTGTTGCCTGACAACATTACCCTTCAAAGATGTCAAGTTCTCAATCCGTCCACTCTTCTGCCACTCCCTGAGGGGGGTGTATACTACGGATTCATCATGGACGAAACTTATGTTTTTCTTCTCACTGGCACCATCAAGAAGGAAATGCATCCCAACCTATCCTTTCATGATGGACAAGCACTCCTTCATGACGGAGCAGGATATGCCTTCTGTACCATGTGGTACAAATCAAACATCACTCCTGAACCCTGCTATGAAGATGAACTCTATAATCTGGTCGAAGTAAAACTCACTGCACAAGACTTCTACTGTGATTCTGAAGGCAACAGTATGGTCTTGATTCATCTACCTCCGGAACTCAAGCATTTGTACCGTCATTGGGACACTGCCATTCCACATGTCCCTGTGACCAAGTTGAAAACAATATCATGGAATGATCTTGGGCCTAAGGCAAAAGCATGGGCCACTATGGACGAATCACAGCTACAGGAAAATGGTGTTGTCAAATATCCAACAACTGACCACCTAAAAGCATGGCCGCGTCATTTCCTGGAGAATGAGTTCCAAGATTTAACCATAGTGAATGAATACGACCCAGATACACCTCATGACTGTTTTGAACAGATGAAAATGGAAACAACACATCTACCAACTGTGCATGAAGAC